CCTTAAGGTCCCCCTGTGGCAGCTCCCCACCCCCCCCCCTGCCCTGAGGCACCCCCCTGCAGTAGCTTCCACCCTGAGCCGCCCCCCGTGGCAGCTCCCCCTGGCCCAGGAAGCCGTGCGGCAGCTCCCCACCCCAGCTCACCTCCCAGGCTTGCGATGCCAATCAGCTGTTTGGCGCCGCAAGCCTGGGAGGGAAAGAAGCAGAGCAGGGCAGTGTGCTCAGGGGGAGAAGGCGGAGCAGAGGTGAGCTGGGGCGGGGAGTTCCCCTGCGTGCCACCCCCCCTTACTTGCTGCAGGCAGCTCTCCCCGCGCCTCCCTGCCCCGGCTCCCTCTGCCTAAATGCCGCCGCCGACTGGGACAGCCAAAGATCTGGCCGCCGCGGTCAACGCCGAAGGACCCAAAATGCCGTCCCCCAAATGCTAGCACCCTAGGCGACTGCCTAGGCCCCCTAATGGGTTGCACCATCCCTGGAGGCCAGCGATCAGGTAATAGCCTGATGATCAGCTTGTCCTCATAAAAAGCAGCAAGCGCGCAGTTGCTAGGGAGGTGTGTGTTAGTTCCCTTCCTCCTGCAGCCGTCCCTGGGTGTGGCAAAGAGAACTGCAGAGTGCAATCGTGCAGAGAGGGAATAGGCTGCAAAGGGAAAGGGAGCAGAGTGACATGCCTTGTCTCCCAGGCGGATGCTCGTGGAGTGTCATCCTGTCACTGTCAGGGGTAGGTAGGGCCTTTGTAGAAGACCTTGGGTCAGGGCAAAGAGTACAGATGTGATGCTGAACCTGGGTTATTTTGAAGAAATAAAACTAAAGCCAAGGAGATTGAAATCTTGTTGCTGGAGGGTGTTGTCTGGGGTACCGGTCAATGAGTTAGCCCATTGGTTTATACCACACCCGTGTCCATCAATGATCCATCTTGTCTATCATCCTTTCTCCACCTAGCCCCAGGGATGTCAGCAGAAAGGGTGAAATATCCCTAAAGGACAGTTTTGTAATAAGAGGCACATGGAGGAACTGCCTTCCTAACCCCCTGTGTCTGACCTTTGTCCTCAGATATCTAGAAATGGGATGGGAAGTTACAACTGAAGTGGAGTTTGACCCAAGCTCTCAACTGTGGGCATTTTAATAGGACATCTAGCTGCTTTGAATTTAGTAGCTCAAAGTGCCACTCTGGCACATAAATGTCAATTTAGTACACGTAGGTGAAGCCCTAATGCAGAAAGGCACTTAAACACATGCACAACTCCAGCCTTATTCTTCAGGCCAGCAGTTAAACATATGCTTAGCTGCTGTCTTGGAGAGGAATGCCTTGCCTGCATTGAGGCCAGGGATTTGAATGTCCTTTGCTACTCTCCCTGGTTGTAGACCGGGCTCCACGAGGCTATGAGTAAAATACAGAAAACTAGTACAATGATGTGCCTGAGAGTCATTGCACAATGGTTATAAGGCCCAACTACAATAGAATTCAAATAAAAAACAAGCTTCTAATTCTGTGTGTGGGTTTTTTTTGCTAAGATTTATATTTGTGTCCATTTCTTTGCCCACCTGTATTGTACTCTACTTTTCTATGCCTGATTCTCCATCCTTATGCAGGACCTTGCCTGCCCCCAAAATTCTGTACATATTTTGTTAGTTAATCTGCAATATCAGGTGAGGGGGGTGAGGATGAGCTGGGTAAGAATATTGGCATCAAAACACTTTGCCTTATTTACGACCATGTTAACACAGTGAGAGCTTTGTCCAGCGAAGCTATTCGTGAACATCTGCTTCTTGGAGATCATAACTGCACTGGCAGCTGGAACAATAGTGACATCTTGAGGCTAATCAGAAGAATCATTGATCCAAATTCTAAATAGGCATGTGGGGCGGGGGGCAGGAAGAGGGGAGTTTTTAAATGATAATTGCAACAAGACTAGAGGTGCCACCTGTCCATGTTTTCCCAGAATCGTCAATTATTATTTTTTAGATAGCTGTCCTGGGAAATCGAGAAGAGTGCTCAGTACACACTACCAGTTGTACAGTTTCATGGGCTCAGAATCATCCCCGAGGAGAAATGAGTGTGTTGTTCCGAGTTCATCTCCTGTTGGCCAGGTAGCTGTATTATAGACATGCACCACTGTGGTTGGTGCTATTTCCCTTGTCCCTCACACACATTATTTCAGTTGGAGGCCAAGGACTTAATTGGCCATGGACTCTCAATTCCTTCTTGCCCTCCTTCGTGCCCTCTCTGAGTCAAGCTTCAGGCATATTTGGGGGAATGGATGGAGGGAAGTCCAGATTCTCTTCCCCACCCTACCCCAAAAAAGCCACTTATTTCTGCTAAGAGCCTCCCATTCCAATCTGGCAAATTTCATGAATGTAACAAAGCTGGTTGACTCCCAGACAGCCCCATCCTTTCACAAAATCAGCAAGCAGACTTTAAGGCTGCAATTTTCAAAAGAACCTAAGGGTGCCTTTGAAAATCACAACATAAAAGCTTTTTTACTGTGAAGTTAACGATCATCGAAATCAACAGAAAATCAGGGGAAATAACCTTTCCCACCCTTGACCATTTTTGTTACTTCATTGTGCATGTAAATACATTTGATGGGACTTTCAAGGGAAAATTTAGCCTAGTCAGTTGCTTTTAAAGCAAACTATTCCCATCGATTTTTTTTGTCTGCACACAGTTAATTAGAACACTGCCTTTTGTTTTGTCATTTATTTTTAGTCAGTTTCCAAACATTTCTATTAATTTGACAACTGTAGCATTCCATGTGTCTGAGGGTAGGAATGTGTATCTGGGGAGAAACAGAAACAGTTGCACATCCACCCTGGGATAGGAGGCAGTAATGTCAAGGTTACATGAACGCAATTTGGTGGTGGACATCTTACATGTGCAAAAATCAGGAAAATGGGGGGGAAATAACCCAGTGTGGTTCTCACAATAAATCTATCCAAGTTAGAAGCCTAAATACTTTGAGGATCTGGGCCATGGCTCTCTGGCCCTCACCCTACAATCTGATCCATCTGAGCAGGACTTTACACTCATCTAGAGTCCCACTGAAGTCAATGGGGATCCCTACAGTCTGCCCACATGGTTCAGATTGCAGGATCGGGGCCCATGGCTGAATCTGAGATCATGCAATCACACTGTGGCTCGTTATAACTAAGCTTGGTCGAATTTGATTTTAATTTTTTTATAATTTTGACGTTCATTTCTAAGCATTTAATTTTTTTTAATCAATTTACATTTTCACAGCTGGAAATTCGGGGGAGAGGGGAAGTGAGACAATAATTATGAAATGACAGTAGACCTTGAAATTCAAAAACCTAAAGCTCTATAACCATTAAAGCACAAATTGACAACATCGCGTCAAAATATCCTTTAATCAAACAAAAAGAAG